CCTCTGGAGCTGGTGAAATGCGTCCCAGCTGTGGGCTGTTGAATTCAGATGTCATTTCGGCCCTAGCAAAGCTTTCCTCCTTCTCAGATGCAAATGGGTTTAGTCTCCAGAGCGCTTAATATTAAGCAACAGCCCTAAAAAGTGTGGGTTAGGTGCTGCATGAAGCCAAAAGTCCTCTCTTAGAGATGTTGTTGGACCTGTGCGACCTGCAAGCATCTGCCTGTGCTCTAGAAGCAACAGGAGGGAATCAGGAGGAGGCTGCAAAGCTGCTGTTGGAAAATAGGTCAAAACAAGCTGGTTTTGGGTATCCTAGGGGTACGAGCATAGGTACCTGGGCCCTTTAGATGTGCCAGCTTTGAGGCAGTGGGCTCAGGAATATTGCACCCCTCCAAGCAGCCTCAAGCCTCATCTCTTCCGCATCCTCCTTTTGAGGCTTTGCTCTTCCCTCTCATTCCTTCTGTTCTTTTTCTCCTTCTCTTGGGCCAAACCCTTTTGCCAACATGCTTCCTGCTTGCAAATGAGAGCAAAAAGGAGGTTTGGGGGAGAGGAGCTATCATATGGACATTTCTGGGCCTCTGATAAAGGGATAGGGGGTGTTGGCAGCTCTGTCAAACCGTGGCTGATGGTTTTGTGATGTGGGCTGTGTAATGTCCCATCTGGGAGAGAGCCGAGTCCAAACTCACCCACTCACATATTTTCCAGAGATGTGTTACTGCACATATGTTCAGAGGACAGGAGAAACCTGTTAAAGAGATAACCTCACCGTATCCCAGCGCCGTGCTCCTCCGAGGGCTGCTCCGCTTGCAGGATCCTTACGCAGCTCTTAGCCCTGTGACCAGGGAGATGGACAAGTCTTGCCAGGAAAAGAGAAAGGAAAGTGCTCGCTGGCACCTGGCCTGCGTTAACACCATGTCAAAGCTAGAGATCAGCTGTGGAGAGGGAGCAGAGGGGTGACATGAGGGCTCCATGCAGGGTGCAGAAAGTGGGTCCCAGCAGCAGGTTGTTAAGTGGGTGGCAATGCCAACCCATAGATGTTTGTGTGCTGGTTCTTGGCACAGAGGGATGGATCTTGCCCTCTTATATGGCATTTACAGGTTTTATACCCATATCCTTGATAAAAGAACATATGGGAAGGAAGAAATGCTGTAAGACAGTGAAGCAATGCACTACCTCTGTTTTGAATGGGGGAAATGGTCTGTTGATGGGCTTAGTACAACAAGATTGAGGCTGAATAACAAACAAGCTACTAACTGTCTCTCAGAGCAGCATCCCTCAGGTCTGGACTGAAACTCCTTTGCCATAAAGGTTCTTCTGCAACCTCTTGATGACCCAGATGGTCTCTTCTGTCAGACTTCTTATGAGCTTTACAAGTTTAGGAGCTTTAAGATTTCTAAATTCAGGGCCAAAGCTTTAAGTAGACCCAAAATTTTCTTTTCAGAAAAGCTGGGTGTCCAGCAAAGCAGGGAAAATGCAGTGATGCTTCAGCATATGGATTGCAAAGGGTACTTTAACCTGCTTCTATGGGTAGTCGAGGTGGTGGCAACTGCCTTGTTCCTATCCAAGAGGTGTTACCCAGCATGTCCTTGATGAGGTACATGGGAATGGCTTGGCCCTTGCATGGCCTTAGGGAGGGGATGAAAGTGCTTGCTGCTGGATAGTCCAGATGGAGCTGGGAAACAAGGGCTTGGCAAGTGATTTTATCACCGCTACTCATCTCAGGGGCTGTCTGCCAGAGTGCTCAAAGGTCAGGGAATTAGAGATGGATGTTCGAGGAGTAGCATTTGCATCTCTCAACATCATTCCACTGTTGTTATGGAATGATGTTCCTGTTCATCTGCTTCATTTTACACCAAGGTAGAGTCTGAAGTTGTCAGTGACCTCTTCTTGAAGTGCCAGAGCTCTTCTGCACACATGCAATGAGATAAATCACTTGAACTAGCTGCATTGCAACTTACTCTCTCTCACACCTTGGAATCAGGAGGCTCCAGTCAAAAAGCCATTGTGGTGGAGTGTTCAACCTATGAGACATTGGCCGTGCATGGCTTTTGTGTCTACAAGATTAGTGCTTTTATAGCCTCTTTGCTACAAACCATTAGAAGCCCCCCCTGTGCTCTTTGCTTGCATTGAATTGATGTAAATCATCCTAAGCTGATTTTGCAAACAGATTCTGTGGAAGATTCAGGTACTGTAAAAAGCAGGAGGTTTCTTAGGCAAGAAGTGTGAATGCCATGGTTAGGACTAAGCTCCAAGTCACCACCTTGGCTAAAGTGCATATATATTCCTAAAGCTTTTCACATTACTTTGCTGTTGGGCTGAGAGCTCCCACTTTGTGTCCTGCCCACCCCTGCATTAACCCAAAGGCTTAGCACCACCCCATCCACCTTTGCACAAGCATCCGGAAGGCTCACATCTCACCTCCTTGGTTTGCTTTGGAAATCCATCAGTTTTTACTCTTTGGACCACCATTCCAAACATCCAGCCCCAGATATTCCTGGCTTGCTGGAAAAGGAGCAAAAGCACCCGTTAATAAAATGGATACAATGCTGTTTCAACAGCATCAGTACAAGTCAGCAGAACATTTTCACATCCTGTGCTGCAGAGAGCAGGGACCCTCTGCAGAGGAAGGCAGTGTCCTCGGACGTGCAGATGTTCTGGGGCTCTCTGCTATGCTAATAGTGCATGAAAGCAGCTTATTAAGATGCAGCGGGTAACTGCAAATCTGGGATTTGTTCACTTAGCTGCCTCTTAATACATAGATATCTGGTTTGCAAGTTTGCATAAGGCATTCTTTGCCTGCGCCTTGAGTATGTGCAGAAATGTGCTCATGCAGGCTTTGATGTCTGCAATATTTAACATCATCTGTTTTCCAATCAACTTGTCTTCTAAGCTCAGGGCTTCATTCAGGGATGCTTCTGCCTGATGCCTACATTTCTTCTTCTGACTTTGTGCAACATCTGGGGTGTTTAACACGTGCTCAGAAGGGCGCACGCTATTAATTGGACATTAAGTGGTGGGCCATGTCTGAGGCCATTGCACATTGTATTAATTACTGAGTGGCTAATAACAACCTTCTGCCCCTGGTATTTATAGAATAATAAAATCTGTCCATGACACTGGCCTCACATCTGGGGAAACTGGCAAACACATTTTCATTTACCTCCCTTTCTCGAGCGTGCTAATAGCTTTCAGATTTCCAGGGGGACAACTGGAGACCTTAGAGTCTTATGAACACATTGGTAATGGCTCCGGAGTGAAGCATGAGCTGAGATTTACACTTCAAACAAGGCTGAGCCCCGCTACTCCTCCCTTTGCCCACTGTGGCATCATGGCTTTAGGATAAAAAGGGACTCTGCTTTAAACCATAAAGGCTGATAAACAGAATTAGGGGTGGCTGCACATAACTGTAAGGCTGATGTTGCTCTATGCTCTCTAAGGTAGGCTCTGAGGCAGGGGCTTAAGGATGCTGCTCTGCAAGAGGAAGGGAGCAAGGCCAGAGCAGGCTGCTGAGGGGTGGCATCTTGTCTGCTCCAAAGAACAGACTGGAGAAGGGCCTGTAGAGAAGAAACTCAATATACCTCCTCCTGTTCTTGAAATTAGTTGTTGCAGATGTGGGTGATGTCCTTGAGTGTATTCATGGTTTGAGCAACTTTGAAACCTCACCTTAAAGCAACTGCTGAGGTGCTTCCCCCATGCCCAGCATGCTGCTTTCCTCCTGTCTTGTCTTCTGAAGGCTCTTAATATACCCCAAAGAAGTGAGCATTTCTGTGCTAGTGGCAGACTAAGGAGAATTGCTCCAAGGTGGTGTCTTTAACTTAAATGTGTAGGGACCACTCACAGGAAGATAGGCACAATGTTATCAGGTCAAATACTACAAACTGGACCAGTTTTGTCCTAGGTTGATGCTATCATGCAGAAACCCCAAGGAAAAGGCAGTCTCAGGGCACTACATCTCTTGCTGCAGTTTTCTGTTATAGTTGCATTCCTCCAGAGGAAGGAACTGCTGATCTCCAGGCCCAGGCTCCCAAATATCCTGAAAGCAATGGGACTGAGGACAGTGAGGTAGTTATAGGATATTTGTCTATCCCTCTGACTTAGTTGGCCAAAGGGTTGCTCTTCTCTAAAGCTTTTGGGGAAAACGTGCTGTAGGATTCGGGTTTGTATTTGTCGGGGCAGTGAGGAATTTGTTAAGGATGGGGAGTTCATAAACAAGCAGTAAAACTCCTCATTACCCTGGAGATTGCTAATAATATCCAATCTGTCCAAGCTGCTCCTCGCACATCCCTGGGAGGATGCATCCTGCCGTCTTCCCCCCTCTCCTCCCTCAAACAACTGCTGTTCTCTGAGATAGAGCCCCAGTTTGTCTCCATTACAGCCCCGCACAAGCTCACTAGCCATGAGGAAGTTATATCACCCTCCAGGAATGGCTTGGCGAATTGCTGAAGGTATGTGCCGCTTGTAATCATCTTTGGCCATGGGCCAGAGTCCCCCACTCTGCACTATCAAAGGCTCTCTGTCTCCCTGCCAGTCGGGAGGGCATGATGTCATGCAGGCACCAAAGCAGGAGCATTTCTATAATCCCCCCGTCTCCCAGTCAAAATCTGCCAGTTCCTAGCAAAAGGCTTCCCATGGCCATTCATAGGGTCTTATTATTGGAGAAGTGGCCAGAAATAGCCTCCATGTTGTTGCTTGTGAGCATGAAAGTCACCGAGATGGGGTAAGCCCTTACACTAAGCAAGATAAATGGGTCCCAGCGAGAGCCTGTAGCCCCTACGTCTCACTGGGATGGCACGTGTTTCTGTTTTGCTTAAAGGCTTGAGTGATCACCTGGATGAAGTGGTGAAAAGCTGTACACTGCAAAGGATAGTGTCCACATTAAGTTAAAAAGCCTTCTGAAAATGTAGTGCAGTCCATCCAATGGTGCCAGAAGGCTGTGTGATGACTTTTCTCCCTTGTGCCTGATGAGAACTTTGTTTTGGCTTGCCAGAATCTTGAGCTTTAAGCCCTCTGAGGAAGACCGTGGTACACTGTACAAGGTGGCCAGCTTCTTCTCAGCCACTGGAATGATGGCTTTGGCGGGTAGTGAAACATCTTCTGGCCATCTCCAAGCATCCCTCACGTTTGTGCCCCATAGCCTGGTGAGTAGGCGAGATGAGGTTCCCATGGGGCATTGGGGAACACTTTACACCAACGCTGGTCCTTTGAGGCTTCTTGTCTAAAATCCCCCTTCATTTCATCCCGTCCCCAATGCTCTCCCCCCTCAACTTGTCACCACTTCTTCTGGCTCTCGAGACATCTGCTTTGCCCGTGTCCTGTAGAAACGCCGAGGGGAGGGTGAGCTCGGTGAGAGAAATGTCATAGTTCTCACTGCCTTTAAACAGTAACTTCTGAAAACATCTGAAACAGACATAATTCTCCTTTTCAAGAGCCCTATCTGAGGCTCCCCAAATGCTTGGCTCTGGCTTCAAAGATGGTGTTTAGCTATAAATAAATAGCATTTCATTAAAAGGAAAAAAAAAAAAGAGAAATTAGACAAAAAAATTCTACAAGCAGAAGCTTAACCAATGCCAGATAATGGGGCAATATGGGGTTTTATTTTTATCCACATGGGTCCATGTGCTCTTTATCTCCCACTGTAATTTATCCTTATAAATTAGGTTCATGATATTAAAAGAACATTATAGCCTTTACCTACCACAGAGAAAGGCGGTGGAGTTTCATCAAGTGCTTTGAGATCCTTAGATGAAAGGGACGACGACCTTGACCAAAGAGCCTCTTGCTAATAGTTAAATGCATGCAAGGCCTTTGCTGAGTAGGGAGAATACATTTAAAGATGAATCTTAATTGGTGCTTAATTGGCAGATTTGTAGCCATTAGGCTGATGCTGGGTAAGGACAGTCTATAGTTAATTCCAAAGTCTATCATGAAGCTGAGCGTTAGCATCCCTTCCAGAATAACTTAACATCTGCTGGTGTGGTCTCCTTCTCCCTGTGCCTTAACAGCATGGTACCTTTGCCCAGTGATGAGCCTGGAAGCTTACTCCTACCCCAAAGTCTCACAAGGGTTGTCTAAACTGTACAAACCTTTCTCCACCTTCTTTTCTATCATTTCTTGTCTTGTTTACGTGATGCCCACCCAGGATCTTAACTCCATCCCTAAATGGAAGCTACAAATGACCACCAAACCTGACTCTGTCCCTTGAACTTCCCTTCTGGGAGTCTGGGGCTGCATTTCCTTCCTGTTCAAGGGGTTTCTTCACTCACTATCTGCTTTTGTGGATGTGGCACCAGCAGCATTTGGTTTTTCTGCTCCACGCATAAGCTGAATTTGCTGCTTTTTTTTCTGAGGCTGGATTTCCTTTATCTTTAACATTCCCCAAGATCTATGATGCAAAAGAGTACTTGTTTCTGACTACAGACACATTAGTTTGGTATTTTCCCTTCTCAGTTGTCTTTCTGATGCTTTTGTCCAAGACGCACCTCTGACTCTTTAACTTTACCCATTAACACTGAGAATTCAGACTCAAATACAAAATGGGTATGTCATGGATGGATTTATACTGCTTGATCCTACCCTGCTGCTTAACCCTACCCTGGTGCTTAACCCTATTGATTTCAATAGTAGAGCTGCACACCTTTTGCTAGGATTACTCACACCTTTTCCATGACACTGTACAAGCCAAGGAGGCAGGAGACCCCACGCTTTACCCCTTCCATCTGGAGATAGCTGGCTTATTACTGCATGGTGCCCTGTGAGCATCCTGTTTCCAGCTCAGCCTCTGATCTCTTCCAAACCTAGGGAAGCGCTGGGGGTTTTAACCCTGTCCAGATGCCCATGTGAAACACATCCACCACTTTCTCCTGTGTTGGCTCCTGAGGAAAGACTTAAGTAGCTCTTAACTGCAAACACAGCTTGGGCTATTAATATCCGAACCACAGAGAGGTGAGTGATGTTCTAGAAGACAGGCTCTTTGCAAACCTGCCCATCAGCAGCACATGCACTTGCTGCCTAAAATAGGTGCCCTCTTTACCTTTCTGACTCTTATTGCCCAAACTTTAGCTCATTGTGGTACTGGAAAGGCTAAGTATGGACTCTGCGGTGTGGCGCTCGAAGTAGTATCAGATGCTGCTTGAAAGAAGAGCCCCAGAGGAAGAGCATCGCTAGACAGTGGGGATTTCCAGTGACTCATATCTGGTAGCAGAAATGCTTTAAGATGTTGAGGAAAAGGGAGCTGAAGTTTTTACCTGCAGCCACCTGCTTATCAGATGTGCCTTGCAGGATAGGGTTTTTTGGGTTTTCTCTGAATAGAAGTGCTTTTTCTTCAAGTACACCGCAGACGTGGCTGTAAAACCCCCGGGAGCTGGTAATATGCCTGTCCAAAAGTGACTCTTGATGTCAAAAAAGCTAAGAGCTTTCCCCTTCCATAACCCTTTGCCTCCTGCGGTACCCCAAAGGAGAAACAATGGGCACAGAAATGCGTTCCCTCCTCTGCACAGCAAGCATTTTTCACCTTCTCTTAACCCCCCTGAGTCTTCTGTTCAACGAAGTAACCATGTTTTCTTTACCAGAAAAATACAGTTCTCTCCATTTAATTTAATTAGAGCTGCCTTTGACCATGGCCTTCAGACCTGGAAGATGAGTGCCACATGCTGTGCGTTGCTCCTAACCCCAGCAGCTCCTCTGTCTCCTCGGGGATTCTATGCAGGACAGACACAAGATTAGTGCCTGAGAATGTTTCATCCAGCCTGAGCGCACGGAGATAAGAGATAAAATACGTCTGCCTTGGGTATGTGCCTGCTTTCCTTCTTTGACAGCTGGGGTTTGCTGCGCAGCAGTCTGCCAGCGCCACCTCATGGTCCATGGTCCGCTGGCCATGCGCATCGCACCACCACGGGCATCTCCATCCTGCCGCCGTGGGTATCCCAATCCTGCCACCATGGGCATCCCAGTCCCACTGCCACAGGCATTTGTATCCCGTCACCATGAGCATCCTACTACAGCACAGATGCTATTCCCACCTCCCTCCTCAGTGTGGTTTCCCTGGAGGGTTCAGGCTCAGGGTATGATAATATACCTGAGGTCTGCAAAGCATTAAAGCATATTGTCAGATATATGAGCTCATGGGGGAAGCAGGCCAGACACATTTGTTACTGGGAGAGAAACTACTTCTTGCCCTGACCCACGTCTAACTTGCTTTGTCTTTATTGTTATCTATCAACACCTTCCTTACTCATTTGGAATAGTTACTTAGTTCCTGTCCTTGATCACCTTCTCCCCTGTATTCTCAGCAGCTGCTGTAGGACCTGGCATATCAGGGAGAAAGGGAAATCTTTCTCAAAAGAGTCTGTTCTCTCTCTTTATTCCACATTAAGAAGTAACAGCTATTTCCAGGTAAATCAATTCGCCTTGTCATCGGTGGAGATTCGGGCAAAAACTGAAGACCTCTCTGGTTTTAATTGTTTCTTTGAAGGAAAATACCTTATGAAAATTGAGGTCAGGCTTCTGTAGGAAACCAGAAGGGTCTCAGTGCAGTGAAGTTCTGCCTGGTTTCATTTGAAATATGGGCAGAGCTATTTTTCTGCACAGTTGCTGTGGTTCAGAGACCTCAAAAGACATCCAAGTTTGGTCTCTTGCTGGCATCTAATCCATGAGTTTGTGAAGCTTTTCCTCCCCACTGGGTGATGTTCACATCAGATGCTCTGTTGAGTTCCCATAGACAAAATGTTGGATCCCACAAAATACTTGAAAAGTAAAGGAGATGCTCGCACCTCTGGGACTGCGGCAATGGCCAGATATGGAGAAGGATGCAAACCTCTTGGAGTGAGAGTTTCATGACTGTAAAGCTATGGAGAAAACTAACAAGAAAGCAAAAAAAAACAACTCCTACCATTTTCATCCATGAAATGAAGGAAATGCAGCCAGACAACAACAGACATCAGCTCAGGGATATAAAGTTATCACAAAGATGGCTGTGGGAATTGGTTCATTGCTCAGATTTAAGTCACTCCTGTCCTTTTGGAGATGTCATTTCTTCCTTACTCTTTTCCCCTCCTTCATTCCTGCCTGCTGCATTTCTCTTTTCTAATTTTAAGGGGGACTGAGCACAGCGAAGGGAGGAAAGGGGCAAAGGCGGAAAGCTATTGGGGGTGCAAAGGTTAATCTTCTAATGAATTTGGCTAATGGGAAAGACACATTGGAGGAGATTGCTCGATGGCAATTTAAAGGCAATTTCAAAAGCCAATTAAAGCTTTTTCCAACTCTTTCACCCGTGTCTCTTTTAAATGCTTTTCCGAACTTTGCTTGCTAGAATTTGGCTTTCATGGCAGGAAAATGGACTAAAACCAGAGAGACTGCCCAGAAAATGAGGCTGTGTTCACCAATGCAATGTGTGTTTTGACATTGGCTCTTGCAGCAACTCATCCCCCACCTGGGGCCTTGACAAGATAACCCAATATATAAAGTTTTCAGAAAATAACAATAAAGACCAAAGAAGACCCTTCTTGCTTCACAGCTATCTCTTCCCTTCCTTGTTGGGACCAAAAGGATGGGATTATCTCGGCATGTATTGAAGGATGCACAAGAAGAAGTCAGCTAGCTCATGGCTCTTCAAGTTGTCTAAGCTGCCACTGAAGTAACTTTCAACCAGACCTGGGGACCTCACAGAACACATGGAGAATGTGGTAAGAAAGCTTTCCCTGTGCGCATTCGGGAATAGCAGCTGAGTCTTTGGTGTCTTTGCCTCCATAGGACAGGTGATGACTCTACCAGCTTGTGCAAAGCTTCAGCCAATCTGTGTCCTGGTTATAGAAGTTACAAAACTCTCAGAAATTATTCAAATCCCCCAAATACCTGCTGAGTTGGGGTTTTGAGGACTTATGCTTTAGTCTTTGGGCTAGGAGAGCTGGGAAATTAGCCATAAAACACACCCACGTGTGTGTACACCATGAATTCATTAAGTGAGATATATATATACCTCACATCTGTGTGTGTAATGTCTGGTTCCTGTGGTTGCAACTGCCCCTGAAGGGAGATGCTACTTACCACCATCCTCAAAAATAGACCACCTCTTTGCACACTTGAGAAGATGCAGGAACCATCTGCCTGCAGCCTGTGATGGCGCAGCAGTGAAGCAAGGGTAGATCCAAATAAAAATGAAGTTCAGAGATGCTAAATGGGTTCACTGGTGCCAAAAATCCACCTGTTCAGGCAAATGACCCTGAGCAGCCTCCCGCAGCACCCAGAGAGTCACTGTGGGCTATGCTAGCTCCCTGCCTCTGTGCTCTCCAAGTGGCTTCTTGGTTTCAAAAGAAGGTTACGGCTTTACATGACCATTTAGTTTAAGACACATCTGACCTCAGGATAGGAATCAGCATAGTCTGCAATGAAAAGAATTACAGCTTTCCAGGGATTTCAACTCTTCTTTAAAGAGATAATGCTTGCCAAAATGATCCTCTTGCAGATAGCGAAGTTCTGTGCAAAGCACGCATTTGGTGCTGAAGTGTTTTTGGTAAACCAGGGATTTGAAAGCCTGTGCACTCTTTCATTCTTTCTTCTTGGAAAGAGGAACGGATCCAAACATGAGCAATGGAGCAGCTGCCTTTAATAGTTATGACAGTCAATGTCGTAACTGCCATCTGAGTTAAAGAATACTGAGAGCCTGCAGACAGAAATGAAGGCAAAAGAGTTCACAGTAGAGACCCACGCTTGCATAAAGTAATACCTGAGGTCAGTGGTGAAATCCTGCAGGGCTGAAATGCTCTGACTTAGCTCCCAGGAGATGCTAGCATTAAACGTGAAAATATGAGATGATCAACAAGGTGCAGAAACCTGAGAATGGAGGGAGCATCTCACAAGGAATGAAGCAAAGGTTAAAACAAAGAGTGAGGGTTCATTTCAGGATGTTCCATAGCAGTACATTGCATTTTGCTTTTCCAAACCTGCAGGATTTTGGAAGCAAGGACCTGGGACCATCATGCTTTTGGATGATCTTGTATTTTTTTCTGGAGCTGTCTCTGGATGGCACCTCATGGTTTGCTGAACTGAGATATAGGGGGCTCTGCTTTCTCATGATCTCAGCTGCTTAGCTCATAACTGGGAGAATCCTCTTGAATACAGACTAACAAAAAGCTGTTTGAAACCAGTTGGAGAAACAGTCCCTTGTGTTACAAAATCAGCTTTTTCTCCCAAACCTCTACTTCAGCCTATTTTTAATGTGCAATGGCACATACCATTGCCTTTATATTTTCCCAGTCCCAAAGATGATATGTATGGATGGGGGCAGGTTCAAAAAGTGAAAGAAAGAGATTATGAAAGGAAAAGAAAACCGAAGAAGAGAGGAGGACCTCAGCACTGACCTGAAGCACGTAGCTAACCCTTTCTTTGCTTAAATTAGCTCAAGCGTAGGTGTATTCCAGGGAGATATTCAGATCCTTAATTAGGAGTAATGATGTAAAAGGAAGTGCAGGCATAGTGAAAATGGATCAGAAAAGCATTAATTGACTAATATGGGTGTTTAGAGCACAGACTTTAAGCTATTTCTGTTCTTCCTCAGGTTGGAGTGAAGCCAGAGCAACTCAACAGGCCATGCATGGGGAAGGGAGCAGATGGCCTTGCTGCATCCAGTACCTCCAGTACTGAAGTCACTGGACTGGTCTCATTCCCCGGTCATTTTCCCATGTGGATTCAGTTCAGCCTCTAGTCCTCAGACCCTCCAGCTAGCGCAGGTAGGACAAAAAGTTTACTTCCTGCAGAAAACCATGACTCTGCCCTCAGAAAGGCTGGAAAGCCCAAGCCTGGGACAATTCAGCAGCCACAGGTTGAGGTGCCTCAGCGAGGGACGCACACAGGAATAAATACTGGAGAATCACTGTTCCTAAAATGATCCTTCATTTGTTGGCTGCTGGTCGCAACCACTGACCTCAGAGCATTAATAATCCTGAAGGGCTCTGGAGGCTTTTTGGCATGTGCATTTTAATGTAATAAGCTTTGGCATCTGAAATGTTTTTTCCCTTCTTGGCTTCTCCTTTGGGCTTGGAAACAACAGGGTCAGCTCAGTCTTCGAGCAAAAGGATGAAGACAACCCTCACTTTAATGCGCAGAATTATATCATCAGCGGCCAGAGGTCACATCCTGCTGTCTTTATAAAGATAACTCCAGCCCCCTCTCTTTTTCCCCAGTCTTTTATAAACCTGGCTCAACCCATACCCCATAGCAGCAGGACTACACAGAGCAACATCTTGGATTAGTTACGAGCTTTTCAGATGCGCTCCAACTCATATTTCATATCATCCCCCCCCCCCAGCCATAAGATCTGAGTTTGTCACATTTACTGGAGACTGAAGTACAAACATGTTTTATTCATTATCTGTCCTCTTCTTCGCAACAAGCACCTGCAAAACATTTCAGCTCTAGACCGGATCAACAAGGCTTCATTAGGCATGACACTTTCTCCCTGGCTTGGATGATGAAGCTACACTTTATCCTTGCACTTCTAGTCTGTAAAATTGCCCAGAGATCATCACCTTAGAAGAAGGCAGACACTCAAGGCCTCGTGACTGAGGTGGAGAAAAAGAGGTTGAGGTAATTACACAGCCCTGATTGCTGTGAGCTGAGGGACATGGAGCTATTTCAGCCTTGTTGCACCACAGCTCTGCTTTATCAGCAGCAGAATGGAGGATCCCAGCTTTTGCACAGTCTCAGACAGGGAGTTTGCAAGCCCTTGGGAGCAGCCTCTATTTTTATCTCTATTTTAATCAGTGGTCAATATTGGAGAAGTGATTCAACTCTCTTTGCCAACTGCAGCCCCATCCTTTCCTTTTTGCCAGCTCTTCCCTCTTGGTTGATGAATATTTATTAGATGCAAAGCAGAAAAACTTCACCAAGAGAGGCAAAGAAGCTCTTTTCCCTGCAAAATCCAGCAGCTTGGGGTAAGCCTTGGAAAAACAGGAGTAACAAGTCCCTCCCCAGAACTACGGGGGTTTAAGTGCTGAGGTTTAAGTGCTGCTTGTCAATCTTAAATAATTAAGAAAAGCATTTGTGAATGATTTCCAGTCCCACAATATCTTGAGTAGAGCAAGCTCCTTGGACCACAAGCATCACATCTCTGCCTTTCAGCTAGGGATGCCTATTGCTGTGCAATTAAAAGATACTGCCAATAAAGCAATATATTCTGATGAGCTAATGGCCTACTGCTGTTTGAGAGGGGCCAGGGAGATGCTAAATCTGGTTTCCAAAGCTCTTTGTATTTAACATTACGACAGTTACTGGTTAAAGTGATCAAACAAAGCAGCAGGTAAAGACATCTCTGCCCCATGTTGGTTAGTGACAGAGCAATGGCATGTGTTTATTCAGTGCTAAATACAGAATTGAGCTCTGAGATATCAGAATTTCACATTCTAGAGAGGGTAAAAGCATTAAATAATTAAATCTGCTGTATTTCAGACCCAAAGGCCTTTAGCTAGGTAATGGGGCATAGCTGGGGTGCAAGGGCCAGGCTGCAGCCTCCCCATCTCAAGGGCTACTGCTTCATTTTCAAGGTATGGATTAAAGGGGAGGAAACTGTTGAATAATCTCTTTAAAAAATGCTGCCATATTTGTGACATCAATTATACAGCATCCGGGTGCAACCACCTCTGGATAGAAGATGCTGCTGAAGCAAAACACCCTTTTCTGTGCCGTTTCAGAGCAGGAAAAGCTTATCTCAGGGAAAAAAAAAACAACTCACAAACCAACCAAACCCATCACTTTGGCATTGTCAAAAGTGCCTTAATGTTTTTCCTAACACTGCCAGGAAAAATCATTGGTCAGATCCTGGCTGAGGAAAGCAGGGCAGAGATTTATCCATGCTCTGGCGCAGAGGGTAGCCAAAAGCCTCTCTGCTTTGGGCAGCCATCACCCTGATTTCCAAATCCAATGGGCAGAGAAGGACCACAGAAAGAGCAGGACCATCCCCTTTGTGTGGCCCTTGAGCCAGTGCAGCATAGCTGAAAATGGGCAAAATTTCAAGCCATTGAGGAGGGCAAACAGCCTTTCATCCTTTGCCTGCCTACCTCATCACGAGCCTGCCTGCACACAACTGGCTTTTTAATTGCACAGCTCCGAATGGTCTTTTGCCAGGTTAAATATCAGCCCAGCAGCCTAACCTCTGATTAGATGTGTCCCTGGAGGCACGGCTGAAGTTTGCTTTTAACCCCTCATTCCTCCCTGCCCTTCCCTCTGCATCCCTTGGCGAGGCCTCCCTACCCTTTCCTGTTATTGTCCTGCCTGCCTCTGATAAGATTAAATACGTGCCCTTCAAAAAAAAAGGCCTTTTTTTTCTTCCCTCCTCATACCTTATTGTTCTTCAAAGGGATGGGGAAGACAAAATCCTGCTCCTAACTCCTGCTAAGAAAAGCCCGTGATCTATGAGGCTGAATAAATAACCCCGAGTCCCTGCAGTGCGTGAGAGCAGCGTTCACCTCCCTAATTGAAACGTGGTGACAGAGACACTCTGGGTTTTGCTTTTTTATTTTAGTGCCAGGATTTTGAGGGACCTTTTCTTTATTATTTCCATTTTTGATTTCTTTTTTCACATTTTTTCTTCAATTTTTCTTCCTATTTTTTCTTTCTTTTTCCTATTTTTCTATTATTTCTAATTTTTCTTTCTATTATTTCTATTGTCTTTATCTTCCCATTTTTTCTTTTTATTCTTTTTCTTTCTATTTTTTCTTCCTTTTTAATTTTTTATGTTTCTGGTTTTTCTTTCCATTTTTTATTTCTAATTTTTTTTCTTTCCATTTTTTCCCTTCCATTTTTTCCCCTTCTGTTTTTCTCCTCTCTCTATGAAAGGTGAACCAACACGCCACAGGCTGCCTGCCAACTATTTGCCCTACGAGACCCTTTGATTCTGACAACGCCAAAGGTTTATGACAGCTTGAGGGGGGGGGTGATTATAGATGCATTATGCTTTTTGCTCAAAGCTGTATCTGGAGAACACAAACCTACAGCAAAAATACGGAGATGCTTTGCATTTTCAATAAAACATCCCTGACAGGGCTCGCTGGAAGAGGGGAGAGAAAAAAGAACTCAGATGAGCCCCAGGTGACCGAAAGGGATGAGAACTCCCTTTGGTTTAATATAAGGTTAATGGTGAAGCACAGTTTTGTTTGCCAAGGCTTTGAGACCACTGTACAGGAAGGGACTGCTTGGGTGGAGGAATGAGTTTATTCATGGGGCTGTCTTCCACTGGCTTTGGTTGAGATGATGGCATGTTTTACTTGGCTGTACCAACTAAAGTAAGTGCATTTACATAGATATATATATATATATATATATTGAAGAAAATAGGGTTTTCATAGTAAAAAGAGGAGGCAGGTGCAGGTTGTGGTCTGGCAGATGTTATATTCCCCATTCTGCAGTTGGATCTCCTGTGTCCTGCTGCAATCCTGGGAGAAAATCTAACATTGACACATCACAGGAACCCCCAAGTCTGTCTAGTGAGTGTTTCTTCTCTTTGTGATACCTTCCATGCAGGCAGGGAGTGGCACTGGAAACTTTTTATTCTCAAAGCCTGGAGTCGAGGTGTGGGAGCCGAAATATGTTCTGAAGCCAAGGGTATGGTGTGCCAAGGGACAGATCTGCCCATGCTGTCAATTGGCACTGTCACCATCAGAAGGTCCGAGCATCCTCAGGTGGCCTTGAGGAAAGGGGTCAGGGTCCAGCCATGCCATTTCCCCCAGATTGCTACCCCAGAATGCCTGGACTCCCCATGGATGGCAATGGGAGCAGGGTGGGAAAATATTCCTCTGTTATGTTATCATTGAGCTGATGAGCTAAAAACCTCCTTTTCATTCCTAGTTTTGGCGTTGACATTGAATCCAGCAGTTCAAGGGACAGAGAAGCCAGTTTGGCCTCATCCTGCCTCTCTGTTTGGGCAGCATCTCAAAAATCTCAGCTGAGGCTTGACCACTGTTGCAGTCCTTGATGGGTCCTGCTGGTCTCTGCAGGGATGTTGGAGTATTCCCACCTTTTTCGCCCTCGGATGGCAGGTAATAATTTATCCCCAGATGATGGCTTGCAGAATAAACCTTAAGGCACCCCTCTCTGAAGAGACACCCCAGCAATCCCTGCTATAAACCCATTGGAAATGACAGTTACTGCCCCATAGCATTTATTGCAGCCCTGCCTTAGGGAAAGAGACGAAGACCCAAACCATCCAAGCTGTGTTTTATGGAGCAAAATGATATTTTTTTCTCTTTAAAATCACCAAACCATTTCAAATCATGGTGATATTTATGGCTGCTCGTGCTGTGTCCAGTCTCCTATAAGAAGCGTGTATGAAAGCATCTCCTGAGGGCAATCACATCCTCTACCCTCCAAATCTTCCTTTCCTGAGACTGGAAAACGTCTGCCTTCTCCAATACCTGCCCAAATCACCGTGAACTTTACAACAAGGGAAATTTCCTTTCTCTCAAGACAAAGGGTACAACCTCCTCCTCTTGCTGCTGCATTAAAATACCCCCGCTCCCCAATTAACCCATCTCTCCCCCAGCCCCTAGGTAAAAACCCAACATGTAATACTCCCCAGAGCATGTCCATGGCTTGACAGCCTTCAATAGGTTAATTTTTCAAAGCCGTAAGCTGATATTTCTGCATAAAATGCACATCTGCAGGGTAAATGCTATTAAGTGTCGGTGAATTATGGTCCCAGAGTTCGGATCACTTGAGCCTTAATGCTACAAGCACCTTAATGTTTTTTTGAATGAAGTTGCTGCTAATTGCTTCCATATGATGTCTTTCCCCCCCTTTTTTCCCTTATATCCCTAAGGTTTTTGTTCTACCATGTACAATGCTACAAAAAACAAGCATGCAGGGAAATTACACTTTATTTAAGGTGGATTCATGCTCATTTGTGGGTCTTTAGGCTTTTTTGGTGCCTTTTGGTGCAGTTCTACTCAGTGCAGGACTCCAAGATGGGGTTTTCCCCCTCAAGTTAATGCCATGCTCCCCATCTGCATCTGCAGATCTTGGTTTGATGATCTTTTGTTCTCCATCTGCATCTGCAACCTTATCTGAATTGTTTCTTCCTCCAAGCATATTGCATGTAGCTGAGGCTACTGGAAGCAAAACTTCCCCTGTGAGCAAATGGGAGTAATAAAAATGGCTTTTGGGGAGCAAAGCTCATAGATCTGAGATAGGAAAGGAAGATGCAGATCCCTGGAGAACTTGCAGCAGTTTCTGTTCCACAGAGGTGTCTCCAAACCTGCAATGACAGCTGTATGGGTGATGGCAGGAGCAGGGTGCTGAGCACTGGTATTTCCTCTCTCAGCACACAATCGGAGCAAAACCCCTGGGAAATCATACCCAGCACTGCACCTTGGCAGCCCTAAAACCATTTGAGCATCAAACCATGTCCCACCAAAGAGATACTTTGGCATTCAGGGTGTCATCTGTCCAGCAAGAAGAACCTTGATTCCACTTTTCTGCCTTTTCAAACAGCAGAAAATGAATGAAACCTACCAAAAAAAACCCCTTTCTGAATGGCTTTTTCATTCCTGGGGGAGCAGGAGAGAGGATTGGTGCTGGTCCTTACGGCTTTCCCCTGCAAAGGCGGAGGGAAGTGCTGCACTGGAGGTTGCTCTTGGGAAATCCATGCACTACGCACTTAAAGCCAGTTGTAACATGGGGATATTGGCTTGAAAAGAGAAGGAAAAAGGGCTTTTTTAGGGAAAACATGCCTTGTTAAGGTCCGACTTCAAACGCCCTGCACAGCTCCGGTGGGAAGGCAGGAGGGCAACGGGATGCAAAGCAGAGCTTTGACATAAAGCAGAAGGTGCTGGGTGATGGGAGCTCTTGATTTACAGCCTGTATTTTTTACAGCCAGGTCTCGGGGGTATACAGTAAAGCCCCAAAGCAGCCAAATTAATTAGTATAACGAAAAGCCCACAGCCTGCTGGAGGCTGTTGCTATACATCAGCC